TTAAAACTTTTGAGACAGTCACCAAAGTGTGTTGTTACATAAACTCAGTCAGTGTCCTACTCAATTCAATTGGTTTCACTTGGATGACAAACTCTCTCTCAGAATACACACAGTAAATGCTGCCATGTTCAACTTCTTACTGCCTTAGCGGCACATTGATCCTGGTTGGACTTGGTTTGTGACCCCTCTGACCTTGTCCCTGACCCCCAAAGATGTTGTTGACCCACCTTGTTACAAGTTCCCCAGGAGTAGAGAGCTTAAAGTGATTGTGAGATTTGAAAGGGGGAGGTATAAACTTAGTGACCTCTTTGGAAAAAGTCTGGACACTGTGTCTGTCTGAGAAAAGTCCATGCTTGAAGACCAATGGAGGAAAAGGCTGTTATGATGATGTATTGATTATAACTGGAACAGCAGCCTCCTAAGTCATCATATGAAAAGGCTGAGTGGTTTTGCATTGGTAATCTATTTGGCTGTGCCCGGGGTTAAGCTTGGAGTGTTTGTATATAACCTAATATGGATTTTTTTTCAGGAGGGCTGCTCTCTATGATAATACATATGAACATACACTCACAGATTCCTAGACTTTCATGCATAATGCATCAGATGTCCAGACTCGGCTGTACGGTAGTAGTTGCCCTCACAATGATATCAGATTACTCTGCTTTTTCCACATTGCAACAAAACATACACAGCGGGGGAATTGTTACCCAAAACAGATTCCGTCTGCTCAGACAATTTGTCCCATTCTCTGGTCCAGCCAAGCTCTTTCAGCCAGAGTAGGAGGGATGGAGGAGTGTTTTGCGCATTACAGACGTAGGTTGCCTGCAGGGTCTCTTTGCTCCACAATTACTGCTTTATGAGGCTGCTTAACTGAAGCCAAGAAAAGACAGCAACAGAGGCAGAGAGTGTGAAGATGTCTGGTGGAATGGTATCTGTTCCTACATCACTCTTGAGCATCCTTTTGTGTCCCTTTTTCTTTGACACGCAAACTTTTCAGACTTTTTTTTCTCTTTTTATCCTCTTCAACTTCACAGACCTTTCGCCAAGGCATTTTTTTTTCTAAGATGATTTTTTTTTGGCCTTTTTTGTTTTTATTAAATAGGACAGTATAAAGGATGACAGGAAACAAGGGAAGAAAGAGTGGGTTATGACACGCAACACAGGAGGCATGCTCTTTAACCATTAAGTGGCCAGTATACTGCATCCAAAGTGCTGGATAGCTTCGGAAAAACCCATCCCCGACACTTTTCTCGTGTCGAATTGAGGGGGGTCCTGTGTCTGACCATTTTTGTCAACTTTACAAAACTCCACAAGCTGACATTCACGCCCACGTCCCGCCAGCTCTCTTTTTTCATTTGTTGCTCCACTATTTGTGGCACTTTTCATGTCAACAATGGAGTACAATGCCATGTAAGAATGTCTTTTTGGAAAGATTGTTTTGTCAGCTACAGTTTCCAACGTCCAACATAAACCTTTAAATCAGTTTTTACCTTTCATCAGAATGACAAATGTATGTTTATAGAAATGACTTGCATACAAATCCAAAGTGAGAAAAGATAATTAAAAATTAACTAAAAGTAAAAATAAAAGAGAAAAGCAATACCTTTTTTGCAGACATCCAATTCAAAAATATAAGTTTACAGTCTATACATAGAAATATATCACAAACAGTCCTAGGGTTTACAGAAAATTACCAGAAATATTTTATTAAATCAGTGGCAGCTGTGTCTTGTCCTTTTCATTAAGAGCATTTACAATTGACATTTTCATCACAAAGAAATTGTAAAAAATAAAAGGACACCCATTGTTTATTTTATTGCAGTCAAGCCAGTAAAAACACCTACTTTTGATATCTTAACATTGACATTGACTTAACATGACATTAAGTGTGAATCAACATTCAACTGCACAATGCTAAGCAGACATGGTATTTATACTCCATTAGCATTCAATCCACTTTGCACCTTTGTATGATCATTTACAGTTGGCTCACTTTCATCCCCAGCAAACTCACTTTATGGTGTCCCGCAGGGTTCAATCCTGGGGCCTATTTTATTTTCCATTTACATGCTCCCTCTCAATGACATCATCCACAAATATAATGTCCAGTTTCACTGTGATGCTGTGATCCAGTGACCAGTCCAATATAGAAACCCTCCACAAGTGTCTTACTGAATCTGGTGTAATCTTTGATCACGACCTGTGTTTTGAATCCCAGGTAAAGAAAGTTGTGCAGTCATGTTTGTATCATTTGAGAGATATAGCCAAGGGTACGTTTTTTCATTTCAGCCACAGACCTGGAGAAACTCACCCATGTTATTTATTTCCTCCCTCCTTGACTACTGTAACTCCCTGTATACCTGTCTCAGTCAGAAATCAACCCACCTCCTACAGTTAGTTCAAAATGCTGCAGCTTGGCTCTTAACTCAGTCCAAAAAAATGTGTTCACATCAGCCCTTTACACTGGCTGCCCATTTATTGTAGGATTAATTAAAAAAATCTTTTAATTGCTTTTAAGGCCTGGCTTGGGCGGCACCCTTCCTATTTTTCTGGGCTTTTATCCTCCTGTGAGCCAGGACGCAGTCAGAGATCCTATCTTATAAGCTTTTATTGTGTGATGTCTATTTAATTTCATTTATTTTACTTTGATTTGTTTGTATGTGTCATATTGACTGCTGTGAAGCACTTTGTTACTTGTATTGAAAAGTTTTATACAAATCAAATCTCATAAAGTCTCATATTATTTAAAAATAATTCTCTCTCTTATATTATATATATATATATACATTTTTTTTTCACACACACAACTCCTTTCTCCTTTATTTATCTTTTTTTTCTAGCCTTGCAGAAGTTTGTAGCTCGTCTCTCTCACACAGTTAAAAAAAAGCCATCTACACCCATCTGAATCCCTGCTCTCTTGACTGGCTGCTCATCTGTGATAACATGAGCTCTGTGCCCTCAGAATGTAATAACCTAATGGTCCATGCTGCTTCTGTCACTTTGTCTTACAGTGCAAGACGGGGGAGAGGGATTGATTGAGAGAGTGTGAGAGAGAGATACAGCCGATAGATAAAGAGGAGAGGAAATAACTTTACTTCTCTGTTTCTGTTATTTACAGTCAGGGGGAGAAAAAAAAGTCTGAATTGCAAAGCTGCTTAGCGGTATGATTCAGTTGGGGGATTTGAATCTGCTCTCACCCCCACTTCAAGCACTGGGGTGGAGGCGGACAAAGAGAGAGATAGAGGGGGAGTGTGTTCATGTGTATGTGTGTGAGAGAGACAGTGTAGGAGAAGCACAATCTGGTATAGCTCCATGTGAAAATGACCTACTTCCTGTCAACTCGCTCTCAAATGGATTGCCGTTTTCTGATGTGTGGAGGAAAGAGGGGGAGGTCCGCTGATGGGTCTGGGGGGAGAGCTTGACGTGGCACGGGTAAATGAAGGATAAGTAGGTGGCTCTGGGGACCCTCTACGTGGAATAAAATAATTGTCATGTGTGTGAAGTGTAAATTCTGTATGCACACAGTACATACACATACAGTGTATAGTGTGTACTCACCTGTGCATACAGTGTTCGTTAGCTCATGCAGTAAAACATGCTGCATGTTGCATGATGTGCCGTGCTCTCTCTGCAGTGTTAATTACCCCAAATGAGGGCTCGACGAGAGTTGAGTATCAGAAAGCCAATATTTGAGGGGGCAGGCCTCGCCAGATGCTCAGTGGTCTCTGTGTGTGTGTGTTTGTGTGTCAGACACACAGGATGTTCTTTATGGAAGTCATCTGCTTTCCAAGAGGGGAGTTTCTGTGGTTTTAATTTGGTTTGAAAGAAAATTCTCACGAGAAACTACTTCCTCACATGTGGCTTATGTGTTCTAACACCTCCTGTATATTCTTTGCACATCACACTGTATACACTCATTGGCCACTTTATTAGTTACACCTGCACAATCTAATGCAATCCAATACAACTGTTCTGCCATAAAATCTACTGTCATAAGGGTGTTAATTCAATTATATGCTAGCATTGAGGTCATAGTTAGTGATAGTGTTTCCTCATGTATGTAAACAGAAAGACAGAAAATTATGAACTCACAAGACATAAACAAACTGAAAACACATAAAGACAGAAGATAAAAAAGAAAATATTCACATGCATACCTGCATGTACATACTACACGTATATATACCTATCCAGACATTACCTATACTATATAGCTGATCTTTTTCATATGATAACAATTTGACAATATAAAAGATGTCACTCGTAGATTTACTGTTTAGGTTTACTCTCCCCTCTCGTAGTGTTGAAACAAGCTCTAAAAAGCCATTGTACACTACCTGCTCACCACCAAACACCAGAAAAACACAGAGTCTAGCTAGTGAACATAGTAAAAAGCCAGATATTTCCCTCAAGAGTTGGTAGAGGCCAAAAATAGAGCTAAAAAGGGAGTAAATGTTGGACTTACATTTGCCAGGTGGTCCCGAAGATGCAAATAAAAACATAGAAAACATAGAACTTTCACTTCTTCCACAACATCAGTCTAAATTTCAGCATTTTCTGCCTTTGCCCCATATTTTCAGGCAGCCATTCATCGTGTAAGCACTGACGTTCAACTATATTCTCCTCAGCGGTGTGTAAACCGCCTTATTTGACAGGTTAAATCTGATATGCACGGGGTGTTGAATCAAAAGCCAAATATACAACTTGAAATTTTGAATTCTCAGGCCTGCTGATTCCCTGTCTCTTTGTAATGTCCTGTATTTAATCCTAGGTTTCAAAATGAAATAGCACTTCTGTCTGTCAGTCTATTAATTTAGGTCATGAATAATGTCTTTGGGATGGATTCATTGAACAGGTATGCTCTGTCGAGCTTAATCCCTGTGACTCTGACTGGCTGGTCGGAAGGTGAATTAATTTAATCCATCCTTGCAACCATGCCCCTCTTTCTCTCTCTCCCTCACACATGCTCTTTCATTTTCCCTTCTCTCTGTATTTTCCAGTACCTGAGGACCTGTCTTTGGAGGAAAGAGATGAGCTGTCCAACATACGACGCAGGAAAAAAGAGCTTCTGGATGATATTGAAGTGAGTAACAGTCTATGAATGATATTTTATTAGTTCCAGCAGCGGAAACTTATGATAAATAGGGCTGGGCAGTATTATCAAATTGTTCTAAATTAGTTATTCTGGGCCAACTGTAAATCAATAAAACAAGTTATTGAAGTGTTTTGCAAGTTTGAAGACTCATCTGATGTAATATAGAACATTATTACATATTTGCATTGAACATTATCTTGATTAATGTTTTATGTGTGATTTCTTTTGCAAACAATCGGCATATTGTAATATGTCCACATTACTGCTGTCAGGGGTTTCCTGTCACCTCCCAACTGCCTACTGTCTAATAAAGGCAAAAATGCCCTATAAGGATGATTCTATTAAGACTGTCATATTAATGTTAACCATATCAACCAGCCCTACTGTAACTGTAATCATCAGGGTGCTCTTTACTGTTAAATGTTATGTAACCATCAAATTAGACAGTATTTACTTGTTATTTCACAGCTGCAGTTGGATCCAAATTCTAGTATATGGAATAAGTGACTGAGTCATTTAGCTGTTTTCCTCTCTGCAGCGGCTGAAGTTTGAGATCGCAGAGGTAATGACTGAGATCGAGCAGCTAACCTGTGTGGGGGAGAGGTGAGTTTCTTTAGGTTTCACTGTCTCTTCATGCTGTGCTGAGATGTCATTGCATATTACTCGGTAAAATGCTACAAAATAAAATACCCAATGCTGTTTCTCAGACCTCATTGTGCCATGACTTCAATAAAATAAAATTTTCTTTGATTAATTTTCTGTCAATTGGCTGACCGTTTTCCTCTTCAGACATATAATTGCTTCTGCCGTGAGCCTCACACCTGTCATTGTGTGAGTACGTTTGTGTGTGTGCGTGTGTTAATCCCCTTTTGTTTGAGCGGGACAGTCCCTCAACTAAACATTAGCCAAACAGTCTGTATTCAGAGGCTTTCATTCGATTGGTTGATGAGGTGGAGTGAGGCTGTGTGTGTGTGTGTGTCTCAGGTGCAGCTGGCAAAGGGGCTCAGGCTATTTTGAGCTTACAGGAAGCATAGGGAGCATGCACAGACACACAAAGCTGGAGATTGATAATTTTAAGAAGAGTAACATTAAAATGGGAATTATTCCTCCAATGGCTGCGAGGTTAGAATGAAGAGAGTAATACTGTGCAGTTGAGACAAAATCACATGGGATCATGTATCATGTATTTTTACTGTTTAATTCCACTGTACACTTATTACAGTGTAATAAATAAACAAACTCCTGCCACATCCTGGACAAACCCATCACAAACTGACCTACTGAACAAACACAGCAGCCTGGGGACAACACCACACCCTTAACTGTCATGTGATGGATGTTCCTGTGTTTTTTTGTTTTTTTTACTGCAGCAAAACCACGCAAAGAAACAAACAGATCGCCATGGGGAGGAAAAAGTTCAACATGGACCCTAAAAAGGTCAGGCCAAAACTGCTGCTGTTGAATTACGCTTTTATGATTTGATTTGGCTTCTTGAATTAAAATTTAAAATAGTAAAAACAGACCAAAATAGGTAACTCGAGTGTAAGTTTCTACTCTTATTTTTTAAACAGGGGATCCAGTTTCTTTTGGAGAATGATCTTCTCCAGAACACCCCAGAGGACATTTCACAGTTCCTCTACAAAGGCGAGGGGCTCAACAAAACGGTCATCGGGGACTACTTAGGAGAACGGTGAGCTCTCCAGTTTTCCCTCTGTTTTCCTTCCACCTTTCTTTTTCCTCTCCCCATCTCTATGTCAGATCTGCAATGTATGTGCTCAGACGTGGGCATGAAGCCCCAGGAAATTGGTAGTCTGGATTTATGGAGCAGAAGAGCGATGGGAGACAGTGCCAGTAAAATAACAGAGCGGACATGTAGTTGTTATCAAAAGAAAATCAATGGGGATAGGACTGTTAAAACAACAGGGATTTCATGCTGCCTGGCTCGGCCAAGACAGCGGCTGTCTGTCAGGAAACTGGTGCTGTGTCATAGCCGCAGGATTTTAGTTTCCAAACTGACCTCCAAATATGTGAATCTGCCGCTGTACCCTGAAGCCTATGTCCAGATGATTTCAGTCCAGCGTCTGTTTCCGTTTGGAAAGAGTGTCAATAGTTAAAGGTGTGACATGTGTCCCTCCTTGCCTCCAGGGATGACTTTAACATCAAGGTCCTCCAAGCGTTTGTGGAGCTTCATGAGTTTGCAGACCTCAACCTTGTACAAGCCTTAAGGTGAGTTAACAACCAAAAACAACACTGTGTTTAAAAGAAAAAAAATAAAGTCAAGGGGCTGGAGTGGGTATGTTCCTGAAGGTACTGATGAGAAGATGAAACATAGACCAGAACGTCCAGTTTGAGTCTCTTGAAAGTTATCATGGCTTCAGTATTTGTCTGTCTTGACGGTTGCAAGGTAAACAGTGGAATAACACTGACCGAGGATATATCAAAGTAATCTACCAGAAATATTGGCTTGGCTTGCACATATTCTATTGGCCAATGCATTGAACTGACAGATGACACTGCATTGCTCTGCATCACAGTTAAACTCTTTGCACCAACGCTCTGAATAGACATGAATCAGATGCTGTGTTTTTTTTTTTTTTTTATAAAAAAATATAATAAAGTAAAATTGGCCGACTGTGCTCTAGAAAATATCTGTATAAGTATAAAAGAAACAGCCCCGCAAACATCCCAGAACTACATTTGCCTGATGAGTTCCAGCCTTTACTCATCCTTGTACTGTTTTGTTCTGAGGAGTGTTGTCTTAAGAGCAAAAGGCTCTTGTTCATTTTACTGTAAACAAACTGCTCAGTGGTGTTTTTTTTAATATTTATAATGTCTAAAAACTCTCTAAGTAAGGCTGTCTTCATTTAATCTATTGGTTCTTTCTCTTCTTAGACATGTTGTAGGGTTTATGATTTAATGTGAATATCCATATACTGTTATATACATTTGCATCAATATTTCACGACATGTCATTATGTTTTTCTTCTCCCTTCCTGCTGTTGCAGGCAATTTCTGTGGAGCTTTAGACTTCCCGGCGAAGCCCAGAAGATTGATCGTATGATGGAGGCGTTTGCCTCCAGGTACTGCCAATGCAATCCCGGCGTCTTCCAGTCCACAGGTACTACACAAACACACACACACACACACTACACACACACTGCAGCAGATATGAGTCAGACTGAGTCAGACAATCCAGGACAGACGACATGGGCCAGCCAGACCACCTCAGCCTCAGATCAATGCCTCTGACTGTCTGTCTTCCTTCATCAGACAGTTGGACCTGTTTGGGCTGTGTAAATCTTTAGCATGTGGCCACAGCTCTGGAGAATATGAACATTGTCTGACTACATAGACATCCACTTTCAGAGAATGTGTTTGAGGTTTATTCTCTTATTCTCAGTCTGAACTTGACTGGACCGACATTCCATTTTCCACTGGAGTTTGCAGCTTGCCCACTAATCACACTGTAATCAGTATTCGTGTCTCCAGCGGTGATAATGAAATTGATCACAGGTCAATGGCGGTTAGTGCACATTGTCTGCTGCTCCTGTGTTAACTGAGGGAGCTCTGAGGACACAGGTGACAGCTCAGGTCATGAATATTGATGTGGCGCAGTGGAGACACACCCAGACTCAGTTATTGGTCATCTCTCAGAACTGGTCCGCAAAGGGCCGTAAATTAGAGCGCAGAGGATGTTGACTGGGGCAGTTAGTGTGCGGATGGATGAGGTAGAGGATGGTTCCCAGGAGTTATGATGTGGAGTGTGTGTGTCTGTGTGTCTGTGTGTGTTAATGACTGAGGAGACACTCTGACTTCAATGCAACATGGCCTTGGAGTGCGCCATCTATGTGTGTGTGTGTGTGTGTGTGTGTGTGTGTGTGTGTGTCCCAGAAAATAAGGCTTTTTGTTGATTAAATTCTGTTTTTTATGAGACAGAGTCCTAAATTTGGTGGTAAGAAAATCTATTGATGGATTGCTGTCAAATTAATCACAAGTCATTTGTGGTGTTATATCAATACCATTGTAATGAATGAGCTGAGTACACACCACTGTACGGGCTTTGCTTGTTTTGAAATAATATCCTTTCACATTTTGGATTTCATTTGGATCTTAGAATCTTGATATTATTTTATCAAAGACTCATACAACACTAAGAGATCAATAATTTTAATCATCTCCGCAGAAATCCATAAACTCCCAAGCAAGAAAAATGTTTTTACACACACACACAGATGCGGGCATGTGCTGTATTTTATGTTTCTCAGTTACACTCTTTGCAATTACCTCCGCAGACACTTGCTATGTCCTATCATTTGCCATCATTATGCTGAACACCAGCCTGCACAATCCCAACGTCAGAGACAAGCCCCCCGTGGAGCGTTTCATCTCCATGAACAGAGGGATCAATGAGGGGGGAGACCTCCCAGAGGAGCTACTCAGGGTGAGAGCTTTGACTTTATTAGTTTGTTTCCTTTGACCAATGTATCTGATGAAATGTGTGTTTCATACATTGTGTTGGTAAAAAATATGTCAATGCAACTTTGACAATTAAAAGTGTAAAGTACGGCTGTTTTTATGATGTAGCACACAAATGAGACTATATAGTAGACCTATAGTAAGTTTTTCCACTATGCAAAGTGGGGAGTCATGCCTCACTAATTGAGACCTTGCAGCTCAGCAGAATGAGATTTGATACTGATGCTAATGATGTTTCGTGATCTGTCAAAGAAAAAGATATAAAAACAAAGTTGATCTACCCACATGCTGTAGGCTGACATCTGTACCAAAGCGCCCATGGCTTAATGTAAATGAAACAAACAAACACTTGTTAAAGACTCTCATAGCTCCCAAAGTTGTTGAGGTGTGAATCATTGTCTCTCACTTTCCGACACTGAAATAGAATCTGTCAATGTCATGTTTAACGCACCGTTAATCTGAAGACTGGGTTGAATGTTTGAAGGGAGATAGGGAGATGGTGTGTGTGTGTGTGCTCATCTGGAGTCGTGTGAATGTGAACCAGTTTCTTTTCTGTTCAACAATGTTTCCCCACTTCTCTCTGCAGAATCTATACGACAGCATCAAGAGCGAACCCTTTAAGATCCCAGAGGATGATGGGAATGACCTGACGCACACGTTCTTCAACCCAGACAGAGAGGGCTGGCTGCTCAAATTAGGTTAGTGAGCATCTCTGCACATTCCCCTGCTGAGGGAATGCAAGAAATCCTGGATGACTTTATTTGGTTGCTCTTGTATTTTTCTCTCTACAACTGTGGCTTTATTCTCACAGCGGCGCGAGAATTTAAATGGCAGGATGGAGATTCAGGAACGTGTTCACTCATGCTCTCTCACACACACGGTTCTGTTTTATAAGTCTCAAATCACTGTGAAACTTATGTACATCCTGCTAAAGGTCTAGGCAGGTCTAGAAAGAGGTTGAATGGACTAAAGACTTATGTCTTTAGTTTGGTGCACACGTTCTCATTATACAATCTTAAATAAGATGTTTGTTTATTTATGAGATGTACAGGCTTACCAATACTGGATTTTTGTGGCTGATATCCACATGTGAGTTTTAAAAAAAATCAAAAAACCAACATGGACATTTTTGAAAACATCTTGTTTTTCTTAAATTCAGACTAAGACTTGTTATTGAGATACTTACTGAGCGAGACATTTTACAGTTGAAATATAAACTTCTCTGTCCTCTGGTTGACAAACTATGTAACCACATGGCAACCATGTTTCTGAATTTCCTCAAACATATGTTTGGCATTTCTGTAAAGCTCAAGTGAGTAACAGTGTATGTGTGGTTTTGTGCGTACACATTGTTTACACATCTGGTCCCAGACTTGTGAAAACCATTACACTGTATTGTAATGTAACTTTGGAAGGAACACACACCTTAGTAAATTCTTCTGTATGGGTTTGTGTGTGTGGGCATGTGTGTGTGTGCCAGGGATCTGTATACTTTCCCAGTGAGGTAATACAGTTATTGGTCTTGTTTCTCTCTCTATTTTGCCACATGTTTCTGTTTGTTTACATGTGTTTTTGATTTGGACCTCACTCCACTGCTCCGCAGTTCACACCACATAAAAGACATTTTTTCATGCTACTCCAGCAGTCCTCACATACCAAAGCATCTTATCACCTTTCATTTAAGTCCTTTTTGGAGTGCTTTTAATTATTAACTTTGCAGTTTTAGGTTGATTTATTATTGAACATAAAACTGTGTAGTATACTGGATATTGTTTGTCAAAGGTTAAAGGGCAAACTCACAGGAGGTGATTTGGTTTATTACTACATTTACACACACACACACACACACACACACACACCTGGCTTTGACCTGCACATTCCTCCAACTCTGTGTAACGTCTCTGTAGTCTCATCAAACTCCGTGAGTACGAATGCAAATAGCCCCATTGTGGCTCACAGACCTAACATGATTACATTTTAGTACGGTTTCTCCCTCGAGCCATTTCCCGCACCAGTTCTCACTATAATATTTCTAATTTGACTCTCTAAAAATAAACCCTGGAGGATGTGAAGGAATAAATGCCTTTTTTAGCATATCTCTCTCTATGTCGAGCGGAAATTTGGCCACGCTAATTCAATAGCCAGAGTCTATTGAAATGTAAGGAAACTCTGAGCTTTTGTAATTATGTGTGGCCCATATAGTCTGATGTGAGGCGCCACAAAAACAGGAAGGAAATGCTGCAGTAAAAAATATTGTGACCTTAAGGGATGCTTAGTATAGAGAGGAACTAATCAGGAGTCTTAGGTCAAAGCACACACACACACACACACACACACACACACACACACACACACACACACACACACACACACACACACACACATATTTGGGAAATCATCAGAAATTGCTTGTGTATGCTCATGTGCACGTCTTCATGTTTGGACTCTGCAATTGTGTGCTTGTGCTTGTGTATGCATTTTAAGTGTGCTGTTCTCATAGCCTGTATGCACGCACCGTACACACGTCTCCCACCAGGAGAGCTTCCTCAGTGTCCCCGCTTCACATCTCTGAAGCAAGTGGTGTTTTCCTCCAACACGAGGCTCTGCAGTCACTGCCAGAGGCAGAATTCTGCTTCAAACCAACGTGTTGGACATTTGCGCTCACTCTGTCTTTGCTTTTTTTGGATGTAGTTTGCACAAGTTAACACGTGAGGTGGTGAACTTGCTCCGGGGTTTGGAGAGTGTGTGTGTGTGTGTGTGTGTGTGTATGTGTGTAAGTTTTTGTGCTTATGTGTGTGTGTGCATGTGTTTCTTCAGGGGTGCTTTTGGTGCCACGTTAGGTTCATATCAAGAGCTGTTTGCTCCCTTCTCCTGGGAGCCAATGAGGTTTTATCCTGTTGCCTTTTAAAAATGAATAGGCACAGTCAGTAATAATTTATCAGTTGTGTGAGTCATCATTTAACTAAGCTCAAAGTTGGGAGGGATAGTGGTGATTTTAATCACATGCTTGGTTTGCTTCAGTTTTCTTCTAACTGGCTAGTCTGCATTTTTCAGAAAGTCCAAGGAGAATTCTTTTTATCACATGTTTACATTTAAACCGCTACACCAAACTGGTGGCAATGGAGTGCATTAAACCAAAACATGAGGTGCAGTAAATGATCTGATAAAATGATTTGATAAAATCGCTCAAAGTTCAGAACATGGATTCAGAAATAGTGTTACATTTTTGCTTTTGAATAAATGTAACCTTTTTTTTTTTTACTAGAAAAGCAATCCAGAAGCATCTCATATGGGTTTTTAGAGGGAACTTTTATAACTTTTTAAATGCCTAAAATTAAAATAATCAGTCTATAGATGCTAATAAGAAAATTCTCAGCCGCTAGAAAGCACAAACCTACAACCAGCCTATATCAGACGATATAACAAGAAATACAAGAACATACAATATATTGTCAATATCAGACTTACTTCACATGTAACACTCAAATCTAGATTGTCATAAACTTAAAATCGGACAAACATACTAATCAACCTTTCAGTGGCATGTTCTTCATTGAACATTAAGTATTTATGGATGAGTCTAATTGTCACATGATGCTATCATGTGGTTGATGACAAGCAGCCTTTCTTACTCAGGAAATTGAATTACAGCAATGAACTGACAAACAAATGTCTAGAATTAATAATGTAAAATGCATGCATGGTCTTTTTCCACTGAGTCATTTCTCTGAAGAAAGGAGTTCTGACTTGGCAGCAAATATTCATATGGTACCACAATATAATATCATTATAATTTTCTCAAGAGTAAGAAAACAAAGTGGATGTGGGCCGGCGTCATTAATGAGTGTCACATCCCTGCTGTTTTTCCTGATGGGAGACAGCTAGTTTGTCACTGTGGCCTTTGTGTCACTTCCTTTCTCCTCTTTCTCTTCCTGTCAGGGGGCCGAGTGAAAACCTGGAAGAGAAGGTGGTTCATTCTGACGGACAACTGCCTCTACTACTTCGAGTACACAACAGTGAGTAGCATGCCAAGATGATGATTTGATTGATGAAGTGCCTCTTTGCAAGTATGTGCGTTTGTGTGTCTGCAGAACTGACCTGAAGTGGCTGCTTGGAGCCCCTCAGACACTAAATAAAATGAAAATAGTCTCTGTTCATTTTGATGTGATTGAAAATGCAGGGTTTTGGTTTGCTACAACAAATTCTGGGATTAACAAATTTAACAAGCAAATTTTTGGAGTTTGAGGATAAAACAAAACAGTATCTTAACAGTAGATCTTAAAATTGTCATAGCCTGTATGGTTTTATGTCGTTTTTTATTTGCACTTTTCAGAAAATGCAAGTTCACTTAACTGACTTAAGGTGTCTTGCTTTGTAGTCTTTATTTGTACCCACATTAGCACATATAGGAGGTTATCTGTCACCTCAAGAAGACCTGGGTGATCCCCAAATATATATTCATCTTATTTGTTGAGTGTCCACGTGTGCTTGTGGTTGTCCATCTGTGCCTCTTACTCTAAGACTACGTTTATTTGTGCGTGCTTGTCGATTTTTATCAGTGCCTCTGTGTCCCTGCTAGCTGCTACATCAGCACTGTCCTCTCTCTACCCTGGTATTATCCTTGAGGACACTATCATTATGTCCCGTCCTCTGGTCTGACTACTCCGCACACACATTATCTGCTCTGTTAACAGAGGAGGGAGGGGGGGGACCAAGGTTGATTTCCATGCTAGCAAAACATGTCACAGTGGATTTTATCCTCATTTCCCTCTTTCTTCCCTTCTCATTTTCATCTTGTGTAATCCTTTAACACACTGCACTTCTTGTCATATCTCTTCCCCCTTTTTCTTTTTCCTCCCTCTTTCCTCTTCTTGCCTATTTATTTGCTTTTCCTACTTTATTGTATATTCTTTCTTGTTTTCCTTGTATTAAGTTGGTTATTTTTCGTCTTCTCATGTTTCTCGTTCTCATCCCTCTCTCCTTTAGGACAAGGAGCCTCGTGGGATCATCCCACTGGAGAATCTCAGCATCAGGGAGGTGGAGGAGCCCAGGAAACCTGTGAGTGTTGCTTCATTTTTAGATCACATGTCAAGTTTCTTTTTCCCCTCGGTTACGGTGTTTATTACATGTTGACTAATTAGGTTGTCTAATTATGTGACAGCTGCACATCACTGATGCCCCGTCCTTTGTCCCTTCTCTAGAACTGTTTTGAGCTCTACAACCCCAATCATAAGGGCCAGGTGATCAAAGCCTGCAAGACGGAGGCAGATGGGCGTGTTGTCGAGGGGAACCATGTGGTGTACAGGATATCAGCTCCCACGCCAGAGGAGAAGGAAGAGTGGATTAAATCCATCAAGTAAGACTCCTTTCAATCATAATGGCACATAACTCCCCCCCGAGTCTTTATACTAAACTAAGCTAACTGGCTGCTGGCTTTAGCTTCACATTTACCATACAGACATGAGAGTGGTATCAATCTTTTCGTCTAAATCTCAGCAAGTAAGCAAATAAACATGTTCCAAAATGAAGAACTATTCCTTTAGCATTATAGTCAAAGGGCAAGCAACTAAAATTTTACTTGTTTTACATTTCCTGAATCCTGTGATGTACCTAGTCATCGTAGTGCTAAGAAAACATGAAAATTGTGCAAAAAAGTATGTAATTGATTTTGAATAGGTCAGTTGATCTCTGCCAAGGCTCAAACAGACTAACAGCTGGTTTGAATGAATGTCCAGAATGTACTCTTTAAGATCATATCAAACCTAGTAATCTCATCAAGATGGCTGCAGTGTGAGTGAGTGCAACATGGGCCTGTCTGCACTTTCACCTGTAGCTCGACAAAATATACTGATTCGTGGCACAACGACTGGATATTGATCGGAACAACAATGGCATTGGATCAACAGAACCACATCTCCCTACAAGCTTTATGGGATGGCATACAACAGATCAAGACTGATATGCTCACTCATCTGGATTCCAAGGTGGACCCGATCCAAACAAATCCAGATGTCCCTTGATACTCTCGGAAAACACGTCTCTTCACTAGAACAACGAATCCGGGCAAATGAGGACAGTTTACAAGATCTCCAGTTTCGGACCAAGGAACTGACTATAGATAATACATACCTGATGGACCACATCCAGGATCTGGAGAGCCGAAGCAGAGCCTCCAATTTTTGCTTTGTTAAGATTCCCTATTCGCTGATGGCCGCCACATCCTTGGCTTCATATATGTAACTCTTTAATTTAATAGGTTATCTCACTGGAATATTTCTGCCAAAAACTAATTTGTTTATTTCTGGTGTCGCAAACCGTAGTATTGCTTTCTGACTCATTTGGTCTACAAAGAGGTGTACCACAGGGTTCAACGCTGGGTCCACAATTTCTTTTAATGATCTGCCATCAACATGTTCCAATTCATCTGTCCAACTATATGCAGATGACACTGTCATAAATACTTCTAAACTTCACTTATTTCAAATGCAAACTGCTCTTCAATCTGATTTCAATACCATACAAAACTGGTTCCTATGTAATAAATTATTAGACTACTGGAAAGAGCCTTAAAACAAAATCTAATAGTTTACTAATGACATGTAATGATAGTACTAGTCTGCACAGAGTTGATCAAATTAAGTACTTTGGTTTATGGCTTGACACTGAACTCACGTTTAAACATCACATCGATCATATAAAATGCAAAGTTAATTTTGGAACCAGTGCTCTGTTTCAGTCCAGAAACAGTTTTACGCTTAGTGTAAAGAAGAAACTTGCATCATAACTTGTATGGCCATTTTTTGACTATGCTGATGTTTTTTATCAAAACGCATCTAAAACGGACCTGCAACCACTCAATACAGCATACAATAATCTATGTAGATTTGTCCTTGGTTGTTCCTGTATTACTCATCACACTTTAATGTATAACTCCCATAAATGACCTCCACACAATATAAGAAGACACATTCATTGGCTTCAACTAATATTTAAATGTGTTAATTTCAGTTATCCTTACTGTTTACAGCAGTTTCTGGTACCATGTTTATCTGTATATCATTTGAGGTATTCAACACAGTACTTCTTCTAATTGTTCATGTTTCAGATGATTTTATTTTATTTTATTTCACTTCATTTCATGTCTGCATAATATATTAAAAAACAGCAAATGTTATATATATGCATTAAATTAGTTTTGCATATTTTTACGGTCCACATGAGAGTGGTATCAATCTTCTATAATAATTGTATTTCCCAAAATATCCAACTATCATCTTGAAGGTTCTTAAAGACTAAATGAGAATATGGACCAGAGTTAGATGTTCACGTACTTGTGGTGGGTGTTTGACTTCATGAGAAAGCTGGTACTCAGCAGTGGTTTCATATTGATATATTAACCACAGACATTGTAGATTTTGTGATCTTGAGTCTTCTCTAGCCTGTGGACTATAAGATCAAGGCTGAAGAAGAGACCCAGAAAATATACTGGTATGGGTTTTAAACATACCTAAATCAATATTGAGGGTGCCACTACAATATTTAATTGACAGTAAAACAGACAATCAAATTTTGTTTTTCTGACAGATCCTATACATAGATTTCACAGTATTAATAACCTTGCTGTTGGTGACCTAAATGCTGGATGCTCTGTATTCGGCAGAAGCTGGTGCAATGTCAAATACAGTTGGCTCAGCAGAACAGTACACTTGTATACTGTAATCTAATGCACTGCGCCCCCCCACCCCCCCACCCCCCCCACCCCCAAACAGTATTCACTTGGGAAATGATGTGGGATTAGTCATTGCTTATAGCACCCAGGGGGTGAGCCAGTAAACCCAGCAAACCTATCCAGGAGAGGCAACTCTAAACTGGGCTGATGCATTCACAGCCACATGGCTAACAAGCCGCAGCTTGCGCTTCACCAGAGGGGTCCAAGAGGACTGGGGGTCTGGGGAGATAAAAGGCTTTTTATGGAAATGATGATTTCCCCTCTCTTCTAAAGGAGGTGATCATAGAAGAACCGCTCTATCTGCTTATCTTGAGTCAGAAACACACAGACCTAGATAATGCTTGACCAATTGGGTCAACGTAAAACGTAAAATGTGCTGTTGTCTTTGAATGAATGAATTCATGCAATACTTAAGGAGAAGAGTACGTATTTTTATATTTTCAGTTCCATTGAATGTATTAGGTTTTTACATATTTTTAAGGACACAAATGGAGGGAATGTTATATCATGTTAGTCATGGCAGCCTTGCCAGGATTCGATCACTCCACACTGGAGTTTTTGTTTCATGAAATTGGGTTGTTGAAAATGACAATAAGTAGAATGAAAGAGGGGGATAGTCATCGTATACAGACTCATTCTTCAGCGTGTGCCGTTGTAAAGGGAATCAGAGATATCCGCAGTGGGGGGTTGAGCCTCTTCTTGCTTTGTGCTGGTGCTAACAGGATTTAGCAGCCGTGAAACTGGGCTCCTCAGTAGAGCCCAAATGGCTTCCTGAGTCACTCGCTCTCATTGTACGCTGCCTTTCCAACGCTCTAAGAGAAACTGGAGCAGGAGAATACGCAAGAGTCAATAATCTTGAGCACCATTGTTCGCCCTCCGTCAGACCTATAAACCTGCAGAATAGCGTGAGGGAGACTGTGTGATTGTATGTTTTACTACATATTTGGCAGAGTTCTGGAGGAGGGAATCGGCAAGAGGTTCCAGCAAACCAGAGTACCAACAAAAAACTTGGGGGGTGGGGGGGTCCTCTTCAGAAACCATGGAAACCAAACTAGGTCATTGCACAAACTTTTTTCTTTTTTTTGATCTAGTTAAGGCAGGGGTTCGTATAAATGTGCCTACATTTCCATATCAAAGATGCTGGAGACCCTCCTCTCATGTGGCATTATTATTTATTTAATTGCTGTCCTTTGATTGGCTTCTTCTCCAGGGCCAGCATTAGCAGAGACCCCTTCTACGACATGCTGGCCACCAGGAAGAGACGCATCGCTAACAAGAAGTGAAGAGGGACAATCTTCTCAACCCCACCCCCCCATCCTTTTCTCCTTCAGTTCATGAACACATAAACTACATACTACAAAGCTGGTTCAACACAGACGTGACTGTCACCCTCAGAAAAGACTTCAACCCCGAAGACAAACCTCAGTCTCTCTCCTGGACTATCCACAAAGTCTGTGCACTTGTTGGGGAGACATCACACACTACTGAGGGGACAGGAGAGCTCCAGGAAACTCAGATATGTGGACTTGATTCTGGCATGGAGCAGCACATGAACAACCAACCAATCAGTTTGTTTCTCCTCCATCTCATGCACACCCCCTACCTCCCCCTCTCATAGTCATAACATGTTTCTAGGTCTCCCTAAAGCACAACTGCCATGTTTCAGGTGCACATGCATGTGCATGTGGGTTATTATAGACCATTGTGTATGTGTGTGTGTGTGTGTGTGTGTGTGTGTGTGTGTGTGTGTGTGTGTGTGTGTGTGTGTGTAAATGCAGCATATGCAGCAGTGTGCATGCTGTCAGTGCACACAGCTTCTGCAGTGTGCGTGCATTAAGTGATAGAAGTGTTCCCTCCACTGTGCTTTATGAAAAAGTCATAGTAATTCAAAATCAGAGTTCAGATGTGTGGTCAGCCAAATGGGGCACAACTGTTGAAATGTAAGGGTGAATAGAAATATTTGGGGAAGGAGGAAGAGATAGACGGACAGAGAGAAGTGTTTGGAAGGTGGTGGATGAACAAGCGCTGTATAACCTCACCTGAACCATGTTATCATCTCACTCTGGTGCTGAATTCTTCTCTCCAGGTGCCATGGCTGAAGCCCTGCTCAGAGTAACCTCAGAAAACAGCGCTGGCTTACATTTAGGTTCCTAACAAAGCATTACAGTCTTGAGTCAGCTGGACTGATTTCATTTATTTGTGTGGAGCAGAGAATTTTGAAATGTGCATACTTTTTTATTTTAGTTGATTAGTAAAGGTGCTTTTGCCAAGGCTTGAGATGAAACTTACTTTTTGGACTTTGAAGTTGTAATCCTTAAGATTTCGGCCCCAGTTGATTTGGCTGTACACTTGCTTAACATCTACTTTGTCAGAAACACAACAGAGGAGCAACTGGTTTATATGATTACAGTGCAGCCAACTAAACTCACATTTTAACAAACAAGTCTGATCTGATTTCATGCTGCTTGTGGCTTGAGTACTATACCACACAGCAGGAGTAATTGGAGTTGGTTACCTTATTATTATTGAGAAGTCTCCTGCAGCTCTACATCTAACAGCTCACTGTGGCTGATCCTTTTTGCTCTAACACCAACGCAAAAATGAAAAACGATCTGCTGACAAAAAAAAAAAAAATGCTAAAAAAGATGTTATCTTGTTTTGTAGATGCATTTATGGTAACCAATCACTGTCAGCACTAATCTCTGTGACAAATACGTGTTCTTTGGCTGCGTCACGATAAAAGCCTTGTGTTTTGCCAGTTGAATGCTTTTAATGTAAAGCAGCAGCAGTAGGAAATGTTGGATTTATATTGGCAGCAACTTAATAGAGCTATGAAATTAAAAATGGAAAAGGTAGAGTCTCATCGCATTTTCACTCAACTGTATTTCTAGTGGATAATAAATAAATATTGATCAGAGCAATCACAAACTATAAATGGTGTATGAGAGCAACATTACCGAATTGTAGTCTGATGATAATGTACAGAAAGAAACGTGCATGTTGAAGAAACACGCTGAAATAATTAACTTCTCCAATGCAGCAGTGTTTTCTAGTGGCCAATTGAGCACAACCACGTGTTGAAAGCTGAACAAAGATGAACTCTGACCTGCAAATTTATCCGTCGCATGGGTCTCAATAGAAGTGAATGGGAAATGGAGCAAATATTCGTAGGACGGTGGTACAATGTGACCATACCTTAATAATGGATGACAAAAATCTATTGTTTCCTGCGAATCCCTTGTGCTTTTGAGGGCAGTTCAAATCCAGTAGGGGGATGGTGAACTCCGCCACTACAAATTAACCAATATTTAGAGAGATAATACAGAATGTAAATACTTTGAATGATTACTGCAGCTGAAATTCAAACCATAAATAATAGCAACCATAATTAGTATCAAAAATTGGGTTTAATTTCATGAAAATCTTAAGGATTATAACTTTAAAATCACTTTCATTATAGAGAGTCTTCTCAGTCTAATGGGTAAGTTTTATTTATGGCTGTGCAATGGCCCTATAGGGTACCAGTCCGATTAAGCTTTTCTTTTTTTTCTTTTCTTGTCTATGGCCTATGTCAGTGAAGGTCGATGTATTGTTGTGATCCTGTTTGCATTTGGTTTGTAATCCTAAAGATACTTGCTTGCTTTTGTGTTACTCTTTAAAAAACTATATAATAACCACCTATCATTTTGTATTTATTTTCATTTGTGAAATGGTTTAGTACTACCTGTAAATGTTAAACAATGTATGCTTAAGTTATGTATGTATATATAATGTATAGGTTTCTGGTCTCTTTGTTGTAGTATGCACACTCTGTGTAACATTGCTTGAGCCGTCAGGCAGAAATTTGCATCAGCTGAAGTTTGGGGTCTTCTTTACAAAAGCCTTAAACATAATCATAAGTAAATATATAATAACAATATAATAATATTGATCAATAACTGTGATGATGCTGTTAAAAAGCCATGACTGATGAGTGAGAAATATGGTTGTATTTATGACGATGATGATGATGATGATGATAACAATTACAGTGAAAATGATGTTTGAATTTAATAATGATGATTCTAGTGAAGTAATATCAGTGATGATGGTGATGATGATGATAATGATGATTATAATATTGATGATGATGTCAAAAACTATAAACACCAGTAGTTTTCTATGTGATTGTAAAATAAAATGAAAGCCTTGTGGTCAGGGCAGAATATTATCTTCTACCGCCCTGTGTGGGCTTATAGTTACATTAACTTTTATATTCTCTGTAAAAGCTATTGGTCACGTTGTACATTACGTGTATCTACATAAAGTATACATAAAGCTTACAGCAGATGTATTGTGTATTCATTATTGATGCTGGTCTCTACATATTTGCATAAGTAATTAGCTATCATAAATGAATTACACAGACTCTGTCACAGGCTTTTTGAATATGTAGGATATCATCCTTCATCACACAGACACCTAGTGTATAATTCTACCTAGTTGAATACATGGTAAAAATAACAGCAAGTGAAGTAGAACAGAAAAGGTAAAGGAAAACATCTTGGGTCCCTGAGAGAAATCTAACTGGGAGAGAAGATGTGGAGCAGAATGACTGAGGAGAGAGCGCCCTCTACTGGTGTTATATGCAAACGTAATAGTGTCAATAATAATGATTTTGACATAAAAAGATAAAATTAATATAAATTAAAGAATCACAATACTGTTTGAGCAGCACAACACTTTTGTCCTGCAAAAAGCTGTCATTTAATCAAAACATTTAACTCGTATCAAAAAAGAAAATCGAGTGCTACACTGCTACCAAAATGAAATGTACCCTTGTTGTTGTTTAGGCCTACACAGAAGAATTGTTTCAAAATAACAGAGGATACTGCAAACTACATCCTCCAAAATGATCACAATGTTGAATCACCTCTCTAAAACAGGTTCAATAAAAACTGGTTTTAGCTTGGTGTTCCTAATAAACTGGCAAGTGTAAATAACGTAAAGTACATTTGTAAAGTACAAAGCCTCAAAGCAAAGCAAGGTAACAGCAAAGACGAGCGTCTCTAGAGAACTACTGTAGAACTATAGTAGAAAGACTGTGTCTGACATCATTCATCTACCTCACAGCTGTTACTGTTGTAATACATCATAAATGTAGTTAATGCATTTGAGGATGTAGGCTACACATTGAGCATGTTGACAGCCACATTTGAGATCAATACAGTTTATTAGAAAAGCAGTGTAATCCATCCCATTTATCAACAAGACTAACTCAGCGCATCATTGAATCAAGTGACTATATTTAAATGTACATATACATTTGAAGTCTGTGTGAAATTGACAAGAAAAGTATAAACTACAGATTTGAGGATCGTGATTTTTTTTGTGTCACAAACTGTGAATTAAACAGAGAAAAACCGTAAACTGTGACTTTTGAAGGTGAAATGTCACTTCAAAAAAAGACCAAATACTGCCTCCCAGTGGGTAAATGTAGCATTGCCTGGAAAAAAAAATCTACAGTTTTGTTGGCAGACTTCAAAGAGATTTTGAAGAGAGGCTGTTTCCCCCTATCTCCAGGTGATAGTTGACAAGTTGGCAGCATGACTGAATCTTACAACCACAGCTGAATGTGACATTGTAAATAAACATTCTCCGTGGATTGTCCTTTTATTGCGTCACATTTGACAAGTCTTTGCTCTGTGGTGTTTCACTGTGCGAGAACAGGGACAGGTTTGCCTGATTGGAAGGTTTTTTTTTGGGTAGATGTTTGTAGAGATGAACCAATATGAAACTGCAGGGCAGATGATGATAACCGTTTATTATCTGTTTCTTGTGACGGATACAATAACCGTTAATACAGTATCTTGCTTGAGATGATTACTGTATGGCTCATTGTGATGACAAAATTGCGTAGTATTACACATGGAAAACAAAGTGACTATTGGGTCATCTCCAGAAAAGTGAACTCAGCTTATGAGACATCTGTTCTTGGCAGTACTGTATATTTCCATATTTGCAACTCTGCACATTCAGGCTAGTCTGGCCATGAAAGTACCAAAAGTGCATTCAGCACATCCCCTCATTCACTGGACAGGATGCATTTCACTATGATCTGCACAACATCACTCACAAAACTCACAAAAATAGAACCAAAGACGCAAAATCCCAGTTCAGACTTGGGTTCAAGTGGTGTCTCTATTCCGTAGTCATGCTCCACATTATGGGACAAAATGATTGGCTAAAATTCCACTATTGGAACAACAACAATTTAATTTTCTTGCTTATTGGCAAACTGAAACATTGCACATCCTTATATTATTCCAGTGTGACATAATCCATCAAAACTGCCATGATTGAGTGTTTGATCAAAAAGGTCCTAAAGCATTAGGGACATTTATTTATTGCGAAATGAGGAAGCAAAGACATTCACAAAAAAAAAAACTATGAGGCACTGGAGGGTAAAATGCACAGATACAATTAAACCAAAATGTCCACTGTATACCTTCTGGAAAAACTTTCAGACCTTCTCAGAGAGAAAAACACCACAACCTTGTATTGATTTTTTTCTAAAACCTTAGACTGTTCCTCTGACTATAAAAGATATAGGCTCTACTACAACAACAAACTCCCAATAAGCATCTTTGACCCTATTGAAAAACACAACCAGCTCAGAGGGACATATTTCCAAGTCCTCCCCCGCAGATATTTTCCTCTCTGAAAAACAAACTTTTAATCTACATCTAAATTGTATCCTTTTTTGAAAGAAAACTGTCCTCACCTGGCATTTTGACCCTATAATGATCTTCCATGACCCTTTAGTAACCTTAAGGTGGCCTCTGGTGTGATGGCTGACCCCTCAACAGGGTGAAGACGACACCTGATCATAGTCGGGGCATTTGAGGAGAGCAGGGTAGCTGGCACTCATTTGCAGTGAAGCTTCACTGGAGATGTCTGAGGGACTTCGTCCGCGTGACCAAGCCTCTGGGTGGAGGAACTGGCCTGAGTGGTCGGAGCAGTTGCTGAGACGAGGGCGGTAGAAACTGGGGTGGCGAGGCTGGTAGATCTCCTCTGCTGTGTAGCGCTTCATGAACAAGTAGACAGACATGACGCCTGCACTCTGCAGTGAAGAAGAGACTTAAATCAAGCCAAAATATCAAATATATGAAAGGATAAGTTCATAAATGCTTTGACGCAAAGAAAATAATCTCTGTGTTCAGTCAGTTACTTTGGTTGTACAACATCACAGTAAATGCATTTTACAATCCAATATCACAAATCACTTCTCATTTAAACAGGTCTCTAAATGTTTTTTGTGAGAATATTCACTGGAAATTTTAGTATGTGATTACTTCTCTATCTTTATGCTGGTAAGAACATTTAATGATTTATTGCAGTTCCTCTCTGCGGCCACATGCAGGCAGTGAATACTCATGACTCTAAATATAGTCAAGTCAACTCTATCAAGTGTCAAAGCAGACACAATAACAATCTTACACTTCAGGAAAACCAAAAAAAGAAGAAAGAAATTGCTGTTTTGAAATATTCTGCCAACCTCTAGCTAAATCCTGACAAAAATTTAAATCAAGGTGGACAAGACATTCAAAAAGGGAAGCTGTATCCTAAACCACTTCTACACACTAAAAAGCAGGTTTTGAGTTATGTATGTTCACACATAAAGTGACGAAGGAAAGGTAGTAGACTCAAATCTGTTATTATACAGACTAAAAACCCTTTGATTTTTGAGTGCAGTGTTGTTTCACAAAGGAAATAGAGCAGCTGTTCACAGCTGGAGAAAATATAAACCTAGTTGAGGATGAAAGCTTTCTGGCTTTCTCAAGTTAAAGCTTGATTAACGTGTGGTGCCACACTTGTTCTGCCTTTTCCTGTCAGCTGGAAACAGTCAAGTATGTTGTTCTCTTGCATACTAAGTGCAAAGCACTATACTACAAAGATTAGCATATAAAATAATACTGTATAAACTTAGTATCGAGTTGAGACTCAGCAATAGTGTTTATTGCATGACTGTTGGTGGACCTCATTGTACAGGCCAATCTAAACCAAACTGGAAAAAAAAACTTCCTGTTGATTCAGCTTCACCACATCAACTAATCGATTAATCATCTAATCGTTGCAGCTCTGCTGATTATTAAAGTTTATAGTAAATTTTAGTTATGACAGATGTTGAGTGAAATATTTTGTGCTGATAGCACAGGTGTACTGAACAGTTGTCATTTGTGTTAATTGTTTGTTGCTCACCTCAGTGAGCAGGAAGGAGATGGCAGCGAAGGCGAAGGACCAGCCGTATTTGTAGGTAAAATAGGCCTCGCTGCTTTTAGTCCTGTTCAGCATTTCATCATTTATACTGGAAATATAGAGCACCAGGCCCACCACCAGAGCTAGACCTGAGACACAGGGAGTAGAGAAAAAACAGTCTCGGTTTTACAAAGACAGAAGATGAAAATACAAAGCGTGTCAAGACATAAGAACAGGAGGATGATCGGTGTACCTGAGAGGATAAAGAAGATTCCAGAGACAAAGGCCAGGATGGTGCGGTGTGGCCGAACATGCCCGATGTTGCTGAGGACAAAACCGATGAACATGAAGAAAAGGCTGACCAGAGGGAATGGAGTGGCTGAGCGGATCATTTCTGAAGAGGAGGAGACAGTGGAGAATGAAAGCTTTTGTTTTTTGTTTTTTTTTCTTTCCTCATTTTCTATGATTTAAATCCTTATGTTGAAGTGAGGTTTTAACATAAGCCCTAGACAGGTTTCTTACCTCACAAATACTACTGCAAATGATTAATAAAAAAAACTTTATACAATGTATTTGTAATGTTTTATGTGTGTAAATCAAAGCAAAGCAACACAAAGCTGCTTTTGACCCCCAACATAGCCAGAGAAGCAATGTGATATTTCTGGTCATAAATCAACATAATGAAATTACTATGTATAATTCACAAAAAGGCAAAAAGAGAGAGTGCATATGCTCATAGACAGATGAGCTTTGTAGTATTTAATTTGATCTCACAGAGAAATTAAATGATTTTTTGTTGATCTAGCCTCATTAAAATGAAGCTGTTTCACTTTGTCATTTGTCATGTTCGAGAGAAAAGTATTTACAGTAACTCTAGCTAAAACACATCTGTTGAAGGAGGTCAAACAGTGACTCTTGAAATAAAGATGAAATGTAGACACTTGATCATCATCTGTGGATTGATCCCTCAGTAAGGCTTTGACATTGAGGTGAATTGTTTGTGAAGAGGCAGTAAGTATTCTGAAGAGGAGCAGGGCAGAGACATGAGAGCCCAGATGACTCAGACTCTCTGTCTGGGTACACTCAGATTTCTGAACAAAACCTTATTGGAAAACGACAGTATTATGGATAAAATGCCTCAGCTGTTCATGTGAATAACCTCAAGGCGAATCTTGAGTTATCAAGCCTGAGGTTGGTGTTGGAGGTTTCTGCTGTTGTTACTCACTGAGCACGTTGACTGTGGACTCTGACGTCAACTGGACGTTCATGGGCATGATGTACTCGATGGTAAAGCACCGACCAGACTCATCACCTGAAAAGGGAATCAGAGATGTAGAGACAAGTAGACAAAGAGACAAGGTGAAAAAGATATTACATGAAGAAAGAGTCGTGCAGCTTCTCTTTTCATCTCTGTCCTGAGTGTACCATACTCCTGTCCATATTATCTGAGGAATACTGAACATTAATTCACTCCTAAAAACACACACATATCCCTATGACCCTATAAATTTAGCAGCTTAGTAAAACAGGTTGTGGACTCAAATACCCAACTCATAGAAAAAACTGTTAGAAAACAGTAAAAGCAAAGATTTCTGGCCAAAACAGGCAGACATGAATTCCAAAAAGGCAGGCAATGGGTTATTACAGGGCAGATGGGAAGAAGAGATGAAAAAAAAAGATCGACCACTACAGCTGAGATGCGACAATAGATGAACCAACAGGTCACAATGGCTAAAGGTCAGGTATATATACTGAGGAGCTGGTGACGGAATTGGGAGAGAAGTACAGGAGATAGTAGTGACTCGCAGACTGAAGGTAAAAAAAGGGGGGAAAAAGAGACTGATACCACTTGCATGCAATGCACAGTATGTAGCTGGAAGCAAATAAGCATATTGCACAAAATATTTGATGGAATTAGGATTTAAATTAATTGAATGACAATAGTTGCAACAACACCAAAAAGTAAAATCTACTTTAGTAAATTTGCTGTGTCCATGAAGTTAGTATCCATGTTATTGACAATTAATGGCTTAGAGCTTGGTAATTTCAGCATAGATTTGTTCATTTTCAACCGGAGTGGAGGTCTGATCAACTACAATCCATCCTGGATTTCCTTCATGATGCCTATTCCACTTATATTTAGTCATCAATTTTTTTTCAACAGTAAGTGTGAGTTACATCACATCCTGCAAATACAGCTACACAACTGTAATTATCACTTCAGCATCACACACACACACTGTCACATACAGACACCAACTGGCGTCATCCACCAGCTAACTCTGTGGCACGACGATCGTGACATCTGTCTCTGAACACTTGTAGGTGCAAGATTGTGTGTGTGTGTGTGTGTGTGTGTGTGTGTGTGTGTGTGTGTGTGTGTGTGTGTGTGTGTGCGTGTGTGTGTGTTTGTGTGTGTAAGTGTGTGTAGAATTATATTGCAGGACTGATTGTACTGCATCAGGGAAGGAATACAGACACATTTTCTTTCTTTCTGTTGCTCTTTCTCTCACTCCACCTATTGTATGCTATACTTACAATCTCTCTCTCTCACACACACACACACACACACACACACACACACACACACACACACACACACACACACACTGATGGAGTAATTGTGAACGCCATGTGTGAATGTCAAATCTGGCTGATACAGGGATGATATGTCAGTGTGACAGCATCAGCTCCCTGCTGCTGCCAGATTTAGATTCTGCACAGTATAAATTAACTTCTTTGAATAGGACTATTCCACTTTAAAATTTAATGCCACTGTCTGTGCCGCAATCCTGATTTACACACGATTACTTTATTAGCTATCAAATTGCAGGAGCACAGAGAAATCAATCCCAAATCTTGGAACATTTTGGAACCCTCAATCTTGCCACTTACCGGCCAGGAAGCAGACTCTCCAGAGGCCCGAGTGCAGTGAGGCCTTGATGTCAGTGCTCTGGTTTAGAGGCATAATGACGCCTTCCTCCAGGTACAGCCAGTAGTCGGTGCTGACTGCCACTCCCAGGAGCCCCAGGCCACTGATTGCAAAGACACTGCTCAGCAACGTCAGGGCCTTCCTGCTGCACGCGCTCATGGCGACAGCGGGGGGAACTTCCAGCAATCAAAAAAAAAAAAGTCCCAGGAAAAGTCTGGAGGAGAAAATGGAAAGAGGTAGAATTACTGGTAAAACTTAAGAGGAGGTTGGACATGGAGACCCAAAGTGTTGTTAGTTAAATAAATACATACTTAAGACATTATAAAATAATATTGCTGTTCATTTACTGCAGTAGTTTTTTATTTAAAAATGTCCCTTTTTCAAAGTTGGTTTTAATTTTTCATAAATAAAAATCTCAAATTTGTTATAATGTCATCAATGTCTTTACGGTTTCTTCTAATCATGACAATCAGGTCAGCGCCAAATATGTGATTGAATGTTGTTTTGTTCTGAATGAACAGAAGACCAGTCACGTAGCATAACAGGACATCTCCTTTTTGTCTTGATTGACAGACAAAAATTGTGATGAAAACAGACTGAAAAAAGCCATGGGAAGACCCTTTTTAGACCCTTTATCAGCAATATTCTGCTCCTGAATTTACTAGAGAAACTCATGTAAACACAACCCCAACAATGTCAGTGTTTTTTACGCAATCACTCATGAAGGACACTCTCAGGACCTTGAAGATGTGTATGTGTGCGTGCAGGTGCTTTGTGAGCTCCACTGAAGAAAAGGCAAAGGAGGAGAGGTACAGTAGGTGGGTGAGAGGATGAGAGACAGCGAGGATGATGAGGGAGTGAGCTTCATCTCCTTCTCCTGTCCACATAATATATCAGAGTGCATTTTGAGATTTGGGAAGTCAGATCTACTCGTCATGATGAGCAGCATATGAAATGTCAGGGCAGCTGGGTAACTGGAGGAATCAATAATGTCTTTGTTTGGTTGTCTTGCAGCTAAATTCAATCCAAATCTAACTTTGTTTGACTCCATCACAAAATGATCTTCATGTCTCATTTTCAGGTTCAGTTTTCGACTCACAGAAAGAAAGTACCATGTAAATTTGTTTTAGTATTTTTAATCTTTATGTAGTAAAGATCCCTATTTTCTTTGATTCTCCTCTTCCTTTCTTCACCTACCTCACTTCCTTTCTTATTTTTATCACTGATTGGCTCTTGTTTTCTCACCCTCCACCCCTCATTTACGATAGAGTTCACCTGGGCATCACAAGATTATTTAATGGCTTCATCCCACTCATTCACTCTTTTTTCACCTTCACATGGGTGGCAGTTTCTAGTAAGAAGTTTGTTACTCTTTAGTTCCAATCATTTGTATGTTGGTCTCAGAGAACCTTCTTCATCCTTATTTCTTTAATTAGTATATAATGAGACTATTTTGATTTGTTGTGCTCATTTTAATCTTTATTCTTTATTATCCTTTCAGAACCCGCAGCCCATGTGTGTGTCTTCCTTCTTTTCATGTTCAATTATGAGAATGAAACCTTTTGTTGGATTGGATATATGGCTGTTTATTCACCAATGGTGATAGTGAATCTATTCTGAACTTCCTACTTAACACTTTAACTTTCTCTAAAATGAAAGTTTTTATATTCACAATAAATTTTAATTCAGTCCATGGTACTGCAAAATCTGTCCAACCTGCTATAAAAAGAATAATGAAGTTTGAGCCGATAATAAGCCCATTTGAGCCTCCAGACTGAGGGGCATTAAACATGTTGTGACATAACACTCTGAATACAAATGCTCACATTATTGGAAATCCAAGACTGGGTTTTGACATTTTACAGCCATGAGTCCAACAGCCTTGGAAACGGTTGGATATTCATAAAAGTAAGTCAGAGTGTGGATTTGTCAGGCTGATCACATGGTATAAGACATAATCTGCAGTGACAGGGTAATGATTTAGGTCCTGTTCAGGACACATGTGAATGATCTATGGACTGTGATGGAGGGAGGACTGTCCAGGAGAGACTCATTGTCACCTGATGATCAGCTCACTTTGCAAGGGCTAAACTATAATTAATTAGGGTTACTTCTAGTTGTTGTTCATGAGTTGACTGTTTATTACATTTTTGCACCTTTTAAAATGGACATATTGCGCTCTACCAGCAGGTATCTCGAGCAACATGAAATCTTTCTTTGTTGGCCTTTCAACAACTTGAACTTAACCTGTTTAGAGACCTTGGCAGTGCTTAGGGGGTAAAGTTTTATTCAGATACACTCAAAAATATCAGCTTGTCCCTGATCAAGGAAAATCACCTGACTTTGAAGTGGTCCATATGTCCAAGTTGTATTAAAACTGGTACTTTCCATATCCAGTTCCTTGAATTTCTTATCAGCTGTATTATTTTTATCAGATAATGACAGAGCTGTCTGGACTGGCACTGGGAACATTGAGATTACATGGCAGTATTATTTTGAGTAAAAATAATGTCCTGAAGAAATTTGTCTAAAATCTGCTTTACTAAACATTACAGATTAGATTAAGAAAAAAATAAAATAAAAAAAGGCAACAGGACATTGAAAATAATTTGATTTCATGTACCCTAATATGTGCAGATGGCTTTGACTCTCTTTGAAACAGTCATCAAATGATTATCAAGTAATTGTTAATGTAGAAACCAAGTAAGATAAAAACAAACTGGGCTACAACACGACTAGAGAGATATATAATATAATATATATATATATATATATATAGGGAGACATGTAATCAGTCATGACTTAATTCTGTCTCATGCAGTGCAGCGTATAGTAGCCTTCATCCAATGCAATTTTTCCGAAGGCAACTTGTGACTGTCATTGACGAATGGTTTTCACTATAGCAAGTTAATGTCTGCCCTGAGGATACAATGTGTCCTTGCGACTGTATCATGTCTTGTGGCAGTTTGCAGTAGGCTATCATACAAATAACATTAGTCAAATAAATATTAACTATAGTCTATATGTACTGTATACATGTGTATACACAAATGTAGCCTGTAACAGTATTTTGCACAAAGGACTGTGGTATTATACTAGCCTACTAAAGAAAACTGGAACTGCGACCAAATCAAAACGTCAAGTCTCAACAAGCATCATACTGATCAGTGAATATGTGAAACACATCGCAATATAAGTCCATATAAATAGAAGCAGGATGAATAGTAGGAATTAAAAAAAAAAAAAATCATAAAATATAATATGCAAATAAAGTCAATCAAATACGTTATTTTGAAATAACGACGGTGAGTCCATCAGACTTACACGCTGTTTTTTCGCACCTGTTTGATGTGTCCTGTCTCAGCTCGCTGAGTTTCCTGCACTTGCAGCAATGATCTCCTGCAGTGACAGGGAGAGAAAGTCTGTCGATTGGAAGAGAAATCAAACGGTGCTCCGTCGATTTGGTCACAAATTCCTTCCGAAAACTGTAAAGTGAAGCCCAACGATGCAGCGGCGCGTGAGTGCAACTCTTCAATTGAAGAAACAGAGTCAGATGCCTCGTGCTGCTCTGCTGCTTGATTTCAGCTGCTAAATGCAAATATTGGGAGAGAAGGGGAGGGAGGGACGTAAGGAGAGAGACAGAGAGGGGGGGGGGCTTATACTTCTATCTTTATGAGGAACAGTTTGAGCGTGTTACTGTTTTTGCCCTTTCCTCTTGCAGGTACATAGGGTGACGATAAATCTCCCTTTCAGTACCACGGATAGCACCACTCGGTCAGGCGTGCCAGAACACTTGAAAACTTCAATGGACCTAGCTGCAAGTCAAATCAGGTCAATTTTTATTTATATAGCTTATGTATACTAGAGAGAGAGAGAGAGAGATCATTGATCATAATTATAATAATGATAATATTGACAGATACAGCAACAATAGTGTTAGGGTTAGTATGAAATAAATAATGATACTACTACTGATACTACTAATAATAATGATTATTGTTATTATTATTATATAACCTATTATTAGGCATTGTGATGGCTGAGGTTAGGGAAAACATTAGGTTTGTCCTCACATAGGCGTACAAGTGTGTGTGTGTGTGTGAGAGAGAGAGTGTGAGTGAGTGAGTGAGTGAGTGAGTGAGTTAGAGAGAATTCTGTGGTCATCTCATTATGAGGTATCACTCGAAGTTCTAATCGCTATAACGAAAGCCACTCTAGAACCTCAGCGTGTATACATACTGGAGAAACCACCTGTCAGACACACGGCGGATCTGGTTAGAGATACATTTCGAAGTTTTTCCTCTTTGTTTAAGTTTTTTCTTAACTTTGAGATTCTGCAGACAAGGAAACATATCCATCGTTTGTGGCCGATAAGAATTGTTTTTCGCGTTCTGACTGTCATATAATAACTGTCATGATATAGATTTGTGGATTGGCTTAAGTTTTGCAAAATCAAATTGGCAAGGTCTTGCCAGCAGGAAGACGTTGTTTTACACAGCTACCATCTTGTCGGATCATAAAAATATTTTTTACCAAGTGGAAATAACACAAAAAGCAGGAGAAGGAGCAGGAAAATAGGTCACAGAGGAAAATACTGACTTTGACTGCCCTGGAAAGTACATTCTTAAAACTTGCAAACTCATGGATCTAAAAGGTAAGGATCGACATACATAGTCTCTTGCCATTCTCCTTTTTTCTGTCTCACACAACACACGCGCGCACACACACACGCACGCACGCACATACGCACACACACCACTGTTTGATCTGCAAAAAACTTTTAACCCACTTTGCAACCCCTATACTATGACATTTTTATGAAATTTCTATGCTATTTATGACATTATGTACAAATGAATTTCACCCGGGGTATAAATAATCTCTCTCTCTCTCTCTCTCTCTCTCTCTCTCTCTCTCTCTCTCTCTCTATCTATCTATCTATCTATCTATAGTATTAATACACAATGACATTTTTATACCTTACTATACTATGACATTTTTATGCCTTAGAATACTATGACATTTTTTATGACAATTTTGTGCCTTAGTATATTATGGCATTTTCAAGCCTTACCATACAATAACATTTTTCATGGCAACTTTGTGCATTACTATTCTTTGACGTCTTTATGACATTTCTATGACTTTATTTTCTTTGA